GGTCTGGTAAAAACCAGAGATGGGCATATTTATATTAAAAAACATAAATACGAATATCATTTATATTTACGGTACTTTTGAATATAAATATAAATATATTTATATTCATAAAAAGAAACATGAGTACAGAGAAAACGTAATCAAATCTGTAAAAATAAATACGGCCGTATTCACCACTTTAAAAGTGAATACGGCTGTATTTACAATTGTAAAAGTGAATACGGCTGTATTCACGTTTATTAAAATGAATACGCTTAAATTTACAGAAGTAAATGGAATTATTTTCACTCAAACTTATGAATGAATACTCGTATTTATTAAATAAATTTTAATTTATTTGTTACTTTAGGTATTTTCCAAAATAAAACAAAAAAAATATGCAAAAATTAAAATAATGTTCTGGACAGTAAGAGGTTTATTAAATAAATCTCTTAAAAAATATTGGAATAATGTAAAAAAATCAGTATTTGCTAAGTAAATGATGTATACATAAACGTTTAATTTTATTAAACATTAAATTATAATTATGAGAACGTAAAGATTATTTGAATTGATCTATTCAGAACAGATTTGAATATATATATAAATTTATATGTATAAATAAATAAATATATATATATATATATATATATATATATATATATATATATATATATATATATATATATATATATAAATATATATATAAACATATTTACACATTCGCAAATGTCAAAAATAATAAATTAAATAAAATAATATGCTAATAAAGTATGGGGTATTTTTAAAACAAAATAAAAGTATCATAAATTGTCTTTCTTTTTTTTTTTTTTTTTTTTTCATTCTAGACTGAAACGACAAGAAACCGCTCGACGTTTCCGATTACTTCAGCACTTACTAGACAAAAGCTCTAAACTTCCAATTAACTACAAAAGACTTATATACTAGACTATAATAAGGCCTATTTGGACTTACGGAGTTGAGCTATGGGGCTCCACTGAACAATCGAATTCCTCTCGTAGCCAATCCTTACAATACAAAATACTTCGTAAAATACTCAAACTTTGTTACAAATAAAACCATCCATAATGACCTTAATGTTTCTTATGTTTCAGAGCTGGCCCAATTCAGATACCTATCATTCCATAATAAACTTCAGAATCATCCCAACCCTTTCGTTTCTAACCTTGCTTCCTCTTCAATTCCTGATAACCCTCCGAGGTGTCTGAAAAGAAGATGGCCCCGTGATCTTCTAATGTAAACATATCATTAGAGTGCTACCATTGGGTAGTTACTCAGCAAGTGTTTTCATGTCATTATATCCATTATGTTCAAATTTGCTAGATGTATTTATTTAATACAATTGTCAATGTGATTAATAAATAAAAAATAAAATAAAAATAAATTGTTTTTTAATCACTTTCTTCAATTTTTTTTTTATCAAAAATAAAATTGTAATACATTTTATTACGGAATCTCCTAAGGTCTTAACATTATAGTTAAGTAAACATAAAATTATAATTTTATGTTTAATAAAATTAAACGTTTATGTATACATCATTTCGAGTTAGCAAATAACAACTTTTTAACATTATTCCAATATTATTTAAGAGATTTATTTAATAAATCCCTTAATGTACAGAATTTTGTTTTAATTTTTGTATTCTGTTTTTGTTTTATTTTTGAAAATATCTAAAGTAACAAATAAATTAATATTTATTTAATAAATAAGAGTATTCATTCTGAAGGTTGTGAGAAAATATTTTCAATCAGTTCTGTAAATTTAAGCGTATTCATTTTAATAAACCTAATAAATTTTAATAAATCTTTACATGACTTTAATAAGATATATCTGGACCTGGATGTGACTCTATAAACCATGATATTCCTTTCATGTTTCTTTTTATGAATATAAATATATTCATATTTATATTCAAAACTGTCATAAATATAAATGGTATTCGTATTTATATTTTTGAATATAAATATGCCCATCTCTGGTAAAAACGTATAGCCTAAAATGTGGCGAAGGGAATGACAAAAAAAGTTATAAAACATTAAGATTATTATTGCTGAATTTATCAGTGACAAATTAAGGAGCTTTTAGGTTTCTGGTTTGTAAGGAATGGATACGAAAGGAATAACATGGTTTATAGAGTCACATCCAGGTCCAGATATATCTTATTTAAGTCATGTAAAGAAGCCTTCTTTAACTAAAACCTTAAAGAGTTTATTAAGTAAGTGTTGAAGTAGACGGAAATGTCGAGCATTTTCGTCGGTTCAGTATGAGGCATCTAAAGCCGGCGCACATTGGTACAAAATACCTTATTTTCGGGGAAAAAACTTCGTCTATCTTATACATACGACTTCAAAGCTCAAATAAGGGTCATTATATGTGTAGTTTCTTGTTGTAAATCGAATGAAATAAAAAGAAAACCGATAGCTTTACAGGTTTTTATTATTATGTTTTAAGTTTTGAAGACAGCCGATGGCACATGTGTCTTACCTGTTAATAATGACCCATCAATTGCATCCCAAACTCTCCAATCACACATCAAAAACCTTGAAGAATGGTACCAAAACAGGAGGATTAAAATAAATTTAAATAAATCCCGTCAAATAACTTTTACCCCTCATCGTAAATCTATGACTTCCTGTCCTACAGTATCATTTAATAATACCTCAATTATCCCTGTTGAACAAATCCGATAACTTCGCAAGAAATCGCTCAACGTTTCCGACTACTCCATTTACTAGACAAACGATCTAACCTTTCAGTTAATTACAGAAGACTCATATACATGACTACAATTAGACCTACTTGGACTTACGGTGTTGAGATCTGGGGCTCCACAAAGCCATCGAATTCCTCACGTATCCAATCCTTGATTGTAAAATGTCTCAATAAACAACTTAAAAAGTTAAAAGAATAATTAATTTTTATTTTTTCAAATTTATTACATTTACAGACAATTCCGATCGAGGACAAAGGCGATTGGCGGTAGTAATGGGGTTTTATAATACCTTCTCCAATAATTTAAAAACTCAAACAATTAGAAAATTTGAGATTTTGGAACCAATTTCAAACTGTAAAAATTAAGAAACAACATTTTACTGAAAGATTTATACTAAGATTTTAAAGAAATACTTAATAAATTACAAGAAAAATTATGCATGACAATGGAAAACTCGAAATCCCACCAAAAGTAATTCGATTGGTCAGTATGAGGGACAGAAGCTGCCATGTAAGAGAGCAAGGATATCTGTAAAATAAATTCAAGTGCGAAGGAGGTTTGAGACCAGGTGGCACTATAGCATGAGCTCTCTTTAACCTAGGTGTAGAAAGCGTATTGAGAAATGTTGGTTTACAGACAACCGGCACGTCATTTACAAAAGCAATCAAACACTAGCTTGCGTCGATGACATATATATTATTAGGGGATCCTTGACAGCTATAAAGGACGCTTACAGTTCTCAAGAGGCAGCAGCAGTGAAGATGGGACTTGAGGTCAGCAAGGTTAAGACAAAATATAAAATAACTGACAGCCGTCAAACTGATCCAACCATCCAAGTTGGTAGATACAACTTCGAAAAAGTTCAAAGGTTAAAATATTTAGGATCGGTAGTGACTACGGATCATGACATGAACCAGGACGTGAAGCAAAAACTTGTTGTCACAAATAGACGTTTTTATGGCCTCCTGAAGTATATGAAAAGCTGTTCATTGCTACGATCAACTAAACTTCTTCTGTACAAAATCCTTATACCACCAGTTCTGAAATACTGGTGTGAAACATTGACATAGACGAAAAGGATAGTAAGAGAAAAATGTTAGTTTTCGGAAAGATTCTGTTTGGGTTAGGATCGGTTCCTTTAAAATGTTTAATTTTAATTTGTAAGGATTGAATCGGGGGAAATTGGAGAAAATGGTTATTGGCCTATGTTGTAGGAATATTAAGTAAAATAATATATCACCTTTTATTTTAAAGGTTTAATTCTCTGGACCACTGTACGGCGTATAAATTATAGTCGGATTATATAATTCATATCTTAAGTTATATATATAAATATATATATATATATATATATATATATATATATATATATAGAGAGAGAGAGAGAGAGAGAGAGAGAGAGAGGTTCGTCATTTCGTGATTCTTAAAAGTATTTTTTAAAAATTATATTTGCTTTTATGAGTCTAGGATTTATTCTTAATTCTCTAAAGGTGTTTTATCACTAATAATAAATCATTCATTTATTAGGAAAAATTTGCGTTAATTGTATTTTATTTAACAGTATTATTATTTGAGTCACCAATAAATTCAATATATCAGCATTCTGTGGCAAAAAAAAAAAACACTTTCGCAGATGTACTCGGAAATTCCGTTGTACTCGGTCAAAATACCCACAATTTCCGGAACATCCCTAAGCGCGAACGTTCGTCATTTGGCATAAGCGACTCTTCGTTCGAAATACGACCACAAGATGCGTCGAACTTCATTTGCCGAACGTTGGTGGACATTCAGCGTATGTGGCCATTGAGCGCTAACTTAATTATGTAGACGTTTGTCTAAGCGGAGTCCTAGATAACGGGCCAGTTCTATAGCGATAAGTGAAGTAAGAATACCATAAAACAAAGTCATACATTCAAGACTAATCAACTCTTAGAAACGATATTTGGTGGTAGAATTATGTCAATATTATTTTATAAATTCAATGTATTAAATGCATTTGTTTTAGCGTGTTTTATTAATTTTTCTTTTCAATTCCTAAGGTCTATTCGATTAAATGAATATTGTATCGTATATCTATTCATACTGCCCTTCTCCCCTTATTAGTTTTCATTTAGAAAAAAAAATATACATTTTTGTAGTTACTGCGATAAGAGTATATTAAAACTCAAAAACAAATTATGTATAAATAACGTTGGTTATGATTTTGAAGAACTGACTAAACGAGAAACATTTACAAATAATGATTACTATAGTATCTATAAATAGATGAAACTGTATTATTCTTACCTCGATATTTATCAAGTTCTTTGCTTTTGAAATCTGTAACAAAAAAAAAAACAGAAATAAAAAAAATAAATTAAATACAGACAGTGAGAAAACGAAGTTTTCTGCTAATAGAAAATCAAGGAGACTTCCTTGGTTAAAGATAAGGTGGTTACCGTGATATAAGATAACAATAATAATTAAATAAATAAATTTGAAATTTAAATTTCAAGGAAGAAAAATGAATGAAACCTTTTTTTATTTACTAGTTGATTTTCAAATATAAAGAAGGAATTAATTAAGTAAACTGTTTCATTTAATGTAACAAAACGAATCGTTATCGTAATGCTACTGGCTTTCCCCAAGTAACCCGAAATTCCACTCGTTAATATCAAGGTAAAATTAAAATATTCGTCTCCCAATGAACCTAGGAGGTCCTGATGTTTAGGATGTCAGGAGTTGAAAAAAAAACTGTGAAGGCTTTAATCGTATTCAAAATTGTGTACAGGTAAGAGTTCGCGTATCGTTTGTAGGCCACAGTGAACCAAGTGAGCAAAACTGAGTAGTTACTTGAAGATAGAAGTTTATCATCACCATTTAACATCCTAGAAATCAGAAGTTGAAGCTTTTTGGTATGATGAATAACCACCATCGAACAATATTCATAATCTATTATTTCATTCAAGAAGATGTTGACAAGACTTGCTTTATTTTTTATAAATTGATTCATATAAAAAAATGTATGAGTGTGAGGTTGCATTCGTTTTTATTTCTTCAATTAATATTGTTTCTAAAAAATACCTGGTAGAATAAACTGATAAAAATTACTTCAAAATTATTGACAAGGTGAAATTTCATGGATAAAAATATTAAAAATTCATAATAAATAACTACAGCTTTATAAGAATTATGATTGCCTTTTGAACAAAAAACATTTCATTGATTTATAAGAATATCTGATAAAAGTAATTTCAATGACACAAATAATGTACATATTTATATTTATATATTTAAATTGAAATAAAATAAAAATTCAAAATCTTGTATATGAATTGGAGTAATTAAAATTTGATTACCAAAAATTAAATGTGAAAGGGGCATAACGATTGCTCTGTATTTGTCACTTCTTGTATTTCTTCTAAAATCTGAAAAATAAAATATTAATGAATATTTTAAAATTAATTTGAATTAAAGTAAGTTAAAATTCATTATAAAACATTAAGACTTATCAATAATAACTTAATTGATGTGGCTATGCCTGAATACGCATATATTCAAATGATGATAGGAAAATTTAAAAAAAAAATATGTTACAAAAACCAACATTTCGGCAAGACCATTTATCATTAAAAATATTTAAAAAGTGATAAAAAAGGTAGATAGTTAGGAATTGAACAAAAAAAAAAGAGAAAAAATGGGCATGCTGGGGGTGGTCACTCCAAACGGCCCAGAATTTTTGTAGGCCACCTTTTTCTCGATTTTGTGATAAAATTATCTTACGATTTAAGTGGAAAGCGAATGGGTGCTCATGTGTTTTAAGTATCTAATGAAATAGATGAAGTTTGCCGATCTCCAGATTGAATACCCCATTATTCCGAGAATTTCCCTAAGTAAAAAGTTGTTTTTTACGATGAGATGAAGCTATTCACGAAGTATTAGGCGGATACTAATTATTTGATAAAAAGGGGTCTGTACCACGGGCTAGAACAAAACTGAGGAAGTCAGTTATATGTTATAAATATTATAAAGTCTAAATATACAAAAACAATTCACGATGTGAAAGTGAAGAATATAATAATGATAGTGATTTAGTTTTCTGTAAAATGTCAGTATAAATTTAATTACCTTATGGCTTGCTTAATAAGTATGATATATTTTATTTTTTTAACTTGAATTTATTTTTTAAACTTTTAAAACTATAATTTTAAAAACTAACACAGTAATTACATTATATCAAGACTAATTTAAAATAAACATCTCAAGAAAATAAGATAAGAGTAATTTAGTTAAACAATGTTCCCTCCTCTTTATAATAATCAGTAATCATGTAAACATTTCGTAATTTTTCAAATGATGCCTGCTAGATTCCTAAAACAGCCCACAGTACTCAACGCAGCACACTGGTTGAAAGGCGGGAAAAACTTATTTTTCAAGGTATTGGAAATTTTTTTTTTCGTCAATGATAAACATATTAATTGCCCTTAGGCAACTAATAAAATATCTTAATATTTCACCAATTCAATCCGTAAAATGTTTATTCTTAACATTGAACGAGCCTTCCAAATCCGACCATGGAACAATGTTTGAATTGCAACGAAAATTGTTCGACATTATTATCATTAATTTCACTCACATTTTGTATGTTTGGTACGATATATTTTTATAATCAGCAGTAGCTATTCCAAACGTTTCTTGCTTTTCCAAACCCATTGATCGGCTCAAAGAGAGGGAAAACCTGTATCACTCCAACACAAGGAAATTTACTCTTAAAAGTGAATAGACTATTTATTATAAAAGGCGTCTAACCCACAGTACATTAATACTAGATACTAGCAGTCGATTCTGATTTATTGTTGATAATTCTTATTATTATATTGAGTTGTCATCTCTTTAAAAATGCAAAGGATGTTGCTTTCTTTGAGCCTATTTTTATTTGATACCGGAAAAAGGAATTCTCTTTGTCTGCCAAATATTAGAACATTAGACCATAGTTAAGGCTTTTTGTTTTCAATGTTTTTGGTATGAGAATTTCTATGTAGGTTTTTAAAATGTATGGTGTGATTAACAGTTGATAGCTAGGTGGTGAGCAGTTCACATTCCTTTGATCTGAAATCATCTAGCCCTCGCAGCTATTCGGCGTAAGATAATATCAGTGATGGTGGTTGCTGAACTATCTTTTTTTTTCTTCTGTTAGAAAAACCGCTTGATATTTCTGCTCAGATTTTGTAAAATCCAAGAATACCTCTTCAGGGTTTTCACGTTTGCGAAATTTCGCGGCAATATTTAGTATAATAGTAAAAGATACATCGATGATCTCATCATCTTTATAATAATAATAATACTTTATTTATTCTGGGACGAGTCCCTTTAGAATAATACAGAAAGGCATAAATATGGTCTAAGGAGCCTCAGAGATACATAAATAAAGACACAGAGTAATTAAACAGTCATAGTAACAACATTTGTTTTCTCTGAAAATTAATACATTCTGCCGCACTGGAGGGCATTAATATTAGGGCTACATTAAACATTCACACAATATATAGAGAAAAGCTAAATGGAATTAAAATATATAAAACACATTCATACCTATATACAATATTTACACTCGACCAGAGGATTCCGAATCATGATTTGTCCCCTAAATGTGGAAGCCAAGGCAGGACCCCAGTGCTTCTCTCCCAGCCGCGTCACTGGTATTGCAAGCCAGTGGAGACTGATGGAGGGCACTAGAGCAAAAGACGCTCAGGACATGAGTGGAGAATCAGGCCATTGCCAGTACTCCAATATACATATTTACAAAAGGTGGCAGGGTCACCGCCGTTTTAACCTCCGGGGAGGATTATAGGGATGGTTGGAGCTAGATAGGGATTGTGCTACAGGATTTGGATGATGAGTGAGTTTCTGGTCAAGTTTGGAAAAATTTTCTGGGATTAGGTCAATAAGAAATGGGATATCAAATCTATGGGGAAGGTCATTATGCAGGGTTTTGTTGGATACATAGAAGGGAGCATCGACTATTAGCATCGAGGACTTTAGACTGAAAGGATTGAATGCGCTTAATGTTAGAAGGTTTTATTGAGCCCCACAGCTCTAGTCCGTAGGTCCAGATAGGTTTCAGGATTGTCTTGTAGATTAGTAGTTTGTTGTCGACTGAAAGTTGAGATTTTCTATTCATTAGTCTAAATAGCTGTCCGAATCGTCTGTTTAGTTGTTATTTTTAAGTCTGGTATGTGGGTTCCACGTTAGTCTTTTATCTAGAAGAAAGCCAAGATACCGGACTGTGTCTGAGAGAGAAAGTGGTATGCATTTGAAGTAGACTGGTGAACAGGGCTTGTGCCGAAGGGTAAAATGATGTGTTTGGATTCTTTAATGCGCCACTTATTACACCAATGTTCAATAAGAGAAAGGTGACTTTGTAGGTTTGAGGATGCTGTTTTAGGGTCTGGATTGGAAGATACGATAGCTGTGTCATCAGTGAATGTTGCCAGGAGGGTTTCGGGATGAGTAGGAATATCAGCGGTAAACAGAATGTAGAGGACGGGACCCAAGACGCTGCTTTGAGGAACTCCCGCCTCAATTGAATGGCAGTTGGAGAATTCTGTACCACAACGAACTCGAAAGGAGAGGTCAGAGAGGTAGGATCGGAGTATTAGATATAAGGACTGGGGTAGGTTGGTTTTGAGCTTGAAGAGTAGTCCGGTGTGCCATACGTGGTCGAAAGCTTGCTCAATGTCCAGGAATGCTTGTTGGAGAATTCTGTACCACAACGAACTCGAAAGGAGAGGTCAGAGAGGTAGGATCGGAGTATTAGATATAAGGACTGGGGTAGGTGGGTTTTGAGCTTGAAGAGTAGTCCGGTGTGCCATACGTGGTCGAAAGCTTGCTCAATGTCCAGGAATGCTCCCGTGTAATACTCTTTGATTTCTAAAGCTGAGGATATGTGGTCAACAATTCGGAGTCCTTGTTGAACGGTGGAATGCTGGAAACGAAATCCGAATTGATTTATAGGAAGATTTTGTGATTCTATTATGGGTAGGATTCTTTTTAATAGGATTTTTTCAAATATTGTTGAAAGGATTGGGAGTTGGCTGATTGGTCTATAGGATGATGTGTTATTGGAAGGTTTGGCTGGTTTCAGAAAAAGGACGATGGTGGAATGTTTTCATAAAAGAGGAAAATGGGTAGTTCTTAGGATGCAGTTGTATATATATTTTCTCGATTTTGTGATAAAATTATCTTACGATTTAAGTGGAAAGCGAATGGGTGCTCATGTGTTTTAAGTATCTAATGAAATAGATGAAGTTTGCCGATCTCCAGATTGAATACCCCATTATTCCGAGAATTTCCCTAAGTAAAAAGTTGTTTTTTACGATGAGATGAAGCTATTCACGAAGTATTAGGCGGATACTAATTATTTGATAAAAAGGGGTCTGTACCACGGGCTAGAACAAAACTGAGGAAGTCAGTTATATGTTATAAATATTATAAAGTCTAAATATACAAAAACAATTCACGATGTGAAAGTGAAGAATATAATAATGATAGTGATTTAGTTTTCTGTAAAATGTCAGTATAAATTTAATTACCTTATGGCTTGCTTAATAAGTATGATATATTTTATTTTTTTAACTTGAATTTATTTTTTAAACTTTTAAAACTATAATTTTAAAAACTAACACAGTAATTACATTATATCAAGACTAATTTAAAATAAACATCTCAAGAAAATAAGATAAGAGTAATTTAGTTAAACAATGTTCCCTCCTCTTTATAATAATCAGTAATCATGTAAACATTTCGTAATTTTTCAAATGATGCCTGCTAGATTCCTAAAACAGCCCACAGTACTCAACGCAGCACACTGGTTGAAAGGCGGGAAAAACTTATTTTTCAAGGTATTGGAAATTTTTTTTTTCGTCAATGATAAACATATTAATTGCCCTTAGGCAACTAATAAAATATCTTAATATTTCACCAATTCAATCCGTAAAATGTTTATTCTTAACATTGAACGAGCCTTCCAAATCCGACCATGGAACAATGTTTGAATTGCAACGAAAATTGTTCGACATTATTATCATTAATTTCACTCACATTTTGTATGTTTGGTACGATATATTTTTATAATCAGCAGTAGCTATTCCAAACGTTTCTTGCTTTTCCAAACCCATTGATCGGCTCAAAGAGAGGGAAAACCTGTATCACTCCAACACAAGGAAATTTACTCTTAAAAGTGAATAGACTATTTATTATAAAAGGCGTCTAACCCACAGTACATTAATACTAGATACTAGCAGTCGATTCTGATTTATTGTTGATAATTCTTATTATTATATTGAGTTGTCATCTCTTTAAAAATGCAAAGGATGTTGCTTTCTTTGAGCCTATTTTTATTTGATACCGGAAAAAGGAATTCTCTTTGTCTGCCAAATATTAGAACATTAGACCATAGTTAAGGCTTTTTGTTTTCAATGTTTTTGGTATGAGA